GCACTCTGCCTAGAGGTTTGTCAATTTCATGGATTTGTTTCGAAGACTCAGCTTTTGGTTTCATTGGTTTTTCTGTTTTAGATTTCATTAATTTCAGGTCTTTATTATATCCTTCCTTCTGTTTACTTTGAGGTTTACTTGGTTCTTCCTTCAGTATAAAGAAAAGATTGATAAATTTGACTCCATAAATTGTTTTTTAAAGTTGCACGGCAAAAGCCACTGTGGACAAAGTCAAAATATAGCTATCAAATAACTGTGATAAAATACTTACAACATATATCAGAGGGCTGGTATGCCTGATATATAACAACCTCTTAAAAATTAAGGGATAAAGGACCAAAACCTGATGGAAAAGTTAAAAGAAAGTTATCAACAGACAGTTCACACAGAAAAGATCGGGAAATGTTCCTCAAACATATTAAAAAATGTAGAACTCGTACTTGAGAAACATTAATTAAAATAACACTTGAGATACCATTTATCATTCATCAAACTGGCACAAAATTTTAAATTTTTATTTTATTTTACTTTTGAGACAGGGTCTTGCTCTGTCACTCAGGCTGGAGTGAAGTGGCATGATCATGGCTCACTGCAGCCTTGACTTCCCAGGCCCAAACGATCTTCCCACCTCAACCACCTGAGTGTAGTTGGGACTACAGGTGTGTGCCACCATGCCTGGCTAATTTTTGTATTTTTTGTACAATTTTGGTTTCACTGTATTGCCCAGGCTGGTCTCAAACTTGGACTCAAGCAACCTTCCCGCAAACTAAAAGTTTAAAAGTCTGGCTACACATTCTGTTGATGAGGCTGTGGAGAATCAGGCACTCCTGCAAATGTTCTTTTTCAGTGTTTTCTGGATTTCTTCTGTGTTTGTGTTTTTTCAATATATTTTTAGCTATTCTTGTTTATTGATATGAACTTTAATAGCAATTTGTCTAGCTCTGTAAAAAACCATGTTATTTTTATTGCAATTGTGTTTATTGTTTATTGCAATTTATAAGCTAATTTAGGGAGGCAGTTATAGGAAGACAAGCATGGAATGAGACAGGAGTGAGGACAGAGCCTTAAAGTTCTCTAATATTTAGAGAAGGGAAATCTAGAATGGGAAATGGAAAAGGAGTGGTTGATGAGAGTTTTAAGGAGGAGGAGATGGTTTTAAGGAGTGTAGATGTGCTGAATACTGATGAGAAGTGTCTTCAGGTAATGTATTGTTTAATACATGAATGACAGACACTGTTCTTAGGCCCTTTTGGGGATCCAAATGATCATATATACATTGAATAAGGTGTAATGTATATATTTTATTCATTGATGCATTGAATAAGATATAATGTATTGTTGAATACATGAATGAGGGACACTGTTCTTAGGTGCTTTGGGGGATATAAGTGATTATATAAACATTGAATAAGACCCAAACCCTATTCTTAAGATATTATTGTCTAAAAAGGAACATGAGATATGCTAACTCAACTTTTTAAACTTTATGAGGAGAGGTACTAAGTTTGCAGTATTCATCACTGCATCGTTAGCATTGAGTCTAGTGTATATAGTTGATTTTTAATATGTATTTGTTGGCTAGTAAATGGTCAAAATGCTCTTTCTCACAGGTCTCTAATTATTGCACACTTAAAGATATATACCAAAAATGAACAGTTCATTCGCCTAGCTTTTTTTACATTTGTAAAAATATAAACCCTATGATTTTAATTTATTTGAATCATTCACGTTAATAATTAGCAAAGTCTGAGGGAATGATACAATCTATGGAGAAAGCATAGAGTGATCAGAAAACCTACTTGAATATGCCATGTGCCATTAGGGATTCATTTTAGGGCCAAGTGACTTTCATTGGAAGACACTGATAAGGGCCTATTGGAATAGACCCAAGTTGCACTGCAAAGGATTATTTGAATTTGGGCAGGTAGAGACAGGAAGAAGTATGTTCTGGATGAAAAGAGAGATTAATTGTGCAAATTTTTCTTATATAGATATATTAAGGTATCCTTTGAATTAATGCTATGAAGTAGATGTTATATTTATTCATTCAGTGTATTCTCAATGCTAAGCACTACAGAGAATATAAAAGTAGATGTAAGTGCCATTTGTACTTATATTGTGTGTCACATTTTACTGGACATTTTGAAATGGTGTAACTTGAGATAGCATATAAACAATTTCTTTACCTGAATTAATTTATATTTTAGGATATGTTGAAAATACCAAAATATTTTTAGGGCTTCTATTTTCTTTTGTTTCCTCTCCTTTTTAAGTAAGAGACTATGAAGCCAAATACTGTTTATTTTAGGTAATATGCTTTTTTCTTTTAATAGTTTGCTAAATAAGGAGACAGTTTTATATTTTATTTGTAAAAGAATAAGGATTTATTCTATTTGTCACAATTATATTTGTCACCTTGTTAAATCAAGGTCTGATAAGAGGCTGAATTCACAGAAGTTTGTCCTTGAACCTCATATGTCTATCTCAGCAGTAATTTCTGATGCCAGCAATACTTCTCAACTGAGTGATGAGTCTTTTGGGAGTGGAGATTCTATTAAAACACTCGACTTTGAAAAATACTTATTATAGTTCATGTTCTCAGAAAATATTTTAAATCCTGACACTCTTCTCTTTTGGATTTTGTAAAAGAAAAAAAGACATTGCTGTTTTCCTGACAGTAGACCATTGTTTTTTATTTGAATTCTATTATCTTTTATTTGCAGTTCCTTAAGTCAAGCTATGACCAAGGTGATTATGCTAGTGTATCTCATTGTAACTATTTATTCTAAGGAATAATTTAATATAAAAAAGTCCTTAGATCTTACCCAATAATGGCATAAACTTGGAGGTTAATGTTATATTTAGACTCCTCATTTTACATTCTCTCCGGGTGTGTACACTCATATTTATGCGTTTACCTTTCACTTGTGTGATAAACGACTTCCAGATCTATATCCATTATTTAAATGTTCCTGGGAAATCTCCATTACTGCCCTTACTCTTCTTTACTGTTTGGCAATTACTGATTTACTTGCCTATCTCTGACTAGTAGGTAAGCTCCTTGAGGGCAGGGACTACATTTAACATCTTCTGGAAGACAGTTGTTAATGTTAATGCACAAGCAGAATATTTTAATCATATTGTTAGTTTTAGACTTAGTGCTGTATTGCATTTCAGTTTGCCCTTCTACAGTGTAACCCTTTTGGGGTCTTACTTTAAGCCTGAAGTATATCCCTGGGCAATTTCACCTCGTCTGACCTTGAGTTCCAACTTATCTTCCCAGTACCAAGCAGCTGGCTGCTAAAGTGTCTGCTCAGCTCTTTGACCTCCCAATTGTTGCTGTCTGCTAGGCTTTTGGATTCTCTTCCTTCTTATGTATGCAGAGTTTAGGGATTGATAAATTCCTCCAGGGTGAATTGCACAAGGATTTTAGGGCTCACTTCCGTGTGGTTTCCTCCTCTTTGGGCTATATTGACCTCAGGTCCTTACAGCTTTGGCCTTCTCACATTCCAACCTATGGCTCCTTATCCCCCCTGGACTTCTGCTTTCTATTCCCCTGTGCTGTGAATTTAGGTACATATCTTCACAAGGAAAAGCAAGGGTGAATGTGGAACTCACTTTTTTCAGCTTTTTTTCTCTTGGATAGTAGCCCCATCAGGTTCTGCCTATTTCAGTTGTTTGTCAGTGTCTTTTAGCAGTTACTTTATGTACTTCTGTCTTTTGTTGATTTTGGTAAGAGACTGAGTCCTGATAGAAGCTATTTAATCATGACTGGCCTGAAGTCCATGGGCTTGTATTTAAAAAAAATTTTTTAATTGAGTTCAAATTTACATAAAATTAGCTGTTTTAAAATATACATTTCGGTGATCTTTAGTACTCTCACAATGTTGTGTGTGGATGTGTTTTTAATTTATATAAATTATAGTACACTATGGCTCTTGTTTTGTGTCTCATTTTCACCTAACAGTATGTTCTAAGAATTTTTTGCTTTTTCTTTTCTAGTCTAACTATTGCATAGTATGCATTTAACTTACTATTCCTTTTGTGATGAACATATAATTTTCTTCCAACTCCCCCTACTGTATTGCAACTAGTAAGAATTTATTCTTGATACCATTTTCCCCAAGCAGGTAGGTTATGTAGGGGTCTTCTTTGGAAATTTGATACCCAAAATTTCTAGTTTGTGTCATTATCTGTGTTCTGGAGGAATTGACTCTTGGGGAAATTCCTGGATTCTTTGGAGCTATTCTAGACTTGAAAGTTCTCCTCCCAGATTTATGTTGGCATCAGTCTAATTTCTTGAGTGTATCTAAACATCTGTGAACACTGTGCATTTTGCCACATAAAGGAATGGGAGCACTCTCTACCCTTTGAGGTCTTGGTTCCTTTATATAAAAATATATATGGAAAAAATTGGGGGATAGAGACTTTCTACAATCTGTTGAGGGTGGTATTCTGCAATTCACTAAAAGTCTGTGACTTTAGATGATGATAGTCAGTTTATTTAGTAATTGAACTCAAAATCTGGATATTGCAAACTTCTTTACCACTTATTAGCTTTGTGACTTTGGGCAAGTTATTTAACCTCTCAGAGCCTTGGTTCCACATCTCACTGATGAGGATAATAATAGAGTAGTTGTTGGGTTAAAATTAAAGAGAATGACAATGTAAAGCACTTATCTTAGCTCTGACACAAGTGCATGGTAATGCTGATATTTTATCTTACTTCCTTTGAATACTAAATGCATTTTTGTGAAAGTGGTTATTCTGCTCATTTGGCACCCCAAAATATGGTACCTTGTATTATTTTTAATGAGTTGTGTTCTTTTCCATTAAGTATAATCTCATGGAGAACAGAGATTTTACCAGAATGTAGCTTAAATTGCTTTTCCTGCAGTTTATATTAAGAATGCATTTTGATTTTTTTCCTTTGTTTTTCTCTCTCTTGAGAAACAAAAAGCATTTGTATTTAAATTCAAAATTGAACTTTTTTCCCTCAGATAACCATGATGACTACACAGACTTCTACTATGACATTTGCTCCTTTTGAGGATACATTGAGTCGGATGCTCTTTGGCTGGCAGCAGCCGTTTTCATCATGTGAGAAGAAAAGTGAAGCGAAATCACCTTCCAATGGTATTGGTTCATTGGCCTCAAAGCCTGTAGATGTTGCTTCAGATAATGTTAAAAAGAAACATACTAAGAAGAATGAATAAATTTACTTGATGAACTCTACAAGGCCAAAAAAATTTTTTTTCTTATCTACCTGTTAGATTGTGATACTTTTTCTATGTATGTGATGTGAAATGAAGACTATATATATGGAATGGAGGTGACAGAAAGAAAGAAATTCTTTGTTTGAGGAAGACTTCCCCTTTCTGGATTGTAATTCTTGAGTGTTATGAGTGTATCATGTGATTATGCTTTTCTGGTATAAGGGATTGTGTTGTGATTATTTGAATAGTTTTATATTAATAAAAGAAGGCAAAATTTTTTCAATGTTAGAAAAAGCAGATCTGTCATTGCAAAGTAACAAAAATTTTAAACTTTTAAAAATGTAGATGTTTTCATATTTTTAAAATTTGAATCTATTGAGCTTTAGTTCAGCAGGATTAAATTTTTACTTTACATTATCATTAAAATTGCTGGGTATGGAAAACAATTGCCATTTTGTTTTGAACACTGAGAAGAGTAAACTTTTCCTAAAACACTTTATATTATAAATGAAAATAAATTGCTGCTTTATATTTTAGATATAAACATCATATTTTTTATTAATACCTACATCAAATGGAAAATACCTGAAAGTTTTTTTCCATAGCAGATATTTTCTACTGGAAGTAATTTTACTACTTTTCATTTAGAACAGAGTATGAGTCTTAATCTGAAGTCTTTCTCATGCCCTTGTTATAAAAAAAACTACTGTTTTTTTCCCTCAAGAAAATCAAGGGTGTAATTTTTAATAAATTGTTAATCCCATGTTTTGTTTTGTAATTTTCATTTTAAGAGCTTGGCTGATTTTTTTATCTCTCATTAAAACACGTTTGTTTTAATTGTAGGGGAAATTACTTTTCTCAGCATTTTGCATGTTCTTTCTAATCTGCATTGGTCTGAATATATTGGTAGTAGTTACTGTAATTATTCGACAAAAAGTATCTCAGTTTAAAAATTTTTCCACTGTGTCTTCTTTCTAGTGGCTACCGTTTTAGTTTCTAGTTGAATGTCTCTGACAAGCTTTCATATGGTTTTGTTATATTTTCATCTACATGTACATGTGTTATTAATTTTATTTTAAATGAAAACTAATCACCTTCATGTGGAAATGCTCTGAGAATTGTTCTCAGGCATTTGGTAGTAACCAGCTAACCAAGAAAAACGGAGAAACCAGAACTTCATATGGCAGTCCATTCAGATGAAGAATGATGATATAAAATCTGGTTCCTTCTTAGCAAAATTAAAAATGAACAAGAAAAGATACTAAATGACATCAGATTTTCTTTCTTTATGATTTAAAAGTCCAGTTATAACATTAAAACTCTGTGACCTAGTTTCTTTTACCAAAACCATGAACCTACTACCCGTATCAGGTATTTTGGATGGTTTAGAAGTACTCAAATCACATTCAAGTTGTTGTTGTTATTTTAAATTTTTAACAAATGTGAACACCAGCAGGTACTATACTTTTACTTGTTCAAAAACATTGGGAGGAGGCACTTTTCATAGTCTTGGAATGCTAACAAGTTTATTTTTAATATTGTGACAGAAAGCATTAAGTATTTAAGAGCTCTGTATTATATTTGATACTCTTACAGTTAAAAACTTTTCAAAATTAATACATTGTTAATTATTGACTGGTTTTAAAGTTTGGGTTTAACTATAGTTGAAATGAAAGGACTCTTGTTTTACACTTGTATTAAAGACAAATTTATTAAAATAAGTTATTTAGCACCAATGGAGTATTACATTATTTTTATGTTTCTTTTATATTTTCTTGAGGTAGAGTTTCAGAACTCATCTAGTGTTTTGACTAATATGGTATATATTCAGTGATTACTGTCCAAATGGGACATTGGTAGAAACTTGATTAATCTATGCAAGTATCCTATAATCCTCAATTCAAGGCTCTTAATGTAAAACAATGTACGGGAGAACATGGCTTAGGCCTGAAACCCCCATCCTGAATCTGTTCAGGTCACCTGTAGAGTCTTGACTTGGATTTGCAAAGGTTAGACTCCTTACCCAATGTGAAGTGTGAATAAGGCCTATAGACCTGCCTCACACAGCTAATCAGAGGTGGCACTGAGAAAGTCAAGTCCTAATAGGTCTCCTTAAAAAAAAAAAAGAGAGACAAAAAGCTGGCAAGAACATGAGCCAGCTTCCCTCAGTGATCTCACTCTCAAGTAAAACATGGCCAAATGAATATCAAAGTGATTTATCAGATTAGTCACTCTTCCTTACTGAGGGAGTATCAAGTAAGGGCCAGAGAGAGACAAGATATGTGGAGTAGGCGGGTTTCAGTGGAAATGATAGCCTCCCTGTGGGTAGAGACCAAAAGGTAGAGAGATGAGAGAAGAAGGGAGACTCTGGTTAGTGTGTGTGTGTGTGTGTGTGTGTGTGTGTGTGTGTGTGTGTGTGTGTGTATATTTATTTATTTTTGTCCCTTAAAGACCGGACACATTTCCATTAAAATCCACATCACAAGTTGATGATAATTGAGTGGAACATTGCATGTTGTAAATGGAATAATGTGTTCAGAATGCTCTCCCTTTCCCATGGTAAAGCCCTTTATAGTGTTTGCCCCAGGTGCAATTCACATCCTTGGTAATATTCATTCAGTTGTTTATTCAACAAATATTGAATACCAGTTATGGGTCAATCATTGTCCTAGGCTCTGAAGATAACAGAAAACAAGAAAAATGCTTTCTCCCTTGGAGTTTATATTCCGGTGGTGGAGAGACAGATAATAAACAAATGTGTTCTTGTAGTGGTAATAAAAGTTACAAGTAAATACTAAGTAGGACATAGGGATAGAAAGTGAGGGGAATGGGATTGTTTGTTACAGGACTGCTAGGCCTTTCTATTAAAATTGCATTTTCACAGAGACCCGAAGGACATGAGGGAGCAAACCATGTAGACTTGTGGGTAAGTGTAAGGTCCATACTGATCCTTCATATACTTGATTTGAAGCATATATTCCCCCCAAATTATTGAATTTATTTTTCTTTTTAAGAACAATTTTACTCTGTAGTTTGTAACAGACCATACCTCTTAAACTGTTTTTTACAGTTTTTGTTTCTTGAGGTAAGGTTTGCATACAATAAAATGCACAAATAGTAAGTGTACATACCATGAGTTTTGAAAAATGTATACAAATTTATAACCTAAACTTCTGCTTAGACATGTTACTAGCACTTCTGAAAGTTCCTTTCCAGTTAACTCCCCTACAACTCAACTTAATAAAACTGAGTCATACAATATGTTTTCTTTTGTGTAGACTTTTTTACAACTCAGCATAATGTCTTTGAAATCATCCATCTTGTTGCATTTATCAGTAGTTCATTCCTTTATAATTGCTTAGTAGTTTTACTATGTGGGTATACCACAGTTTTTATCCTATTGGTGCACATCAGTACTGTTTCTTGTTTGGAGTTTTCTGAATAAGCTACTCTGAATATTTTTGTGTAAGTTTTTGGTGAACATTTTGGTGAATGATTTAGATTCCTTTGGGCATATGCCCAGTAATGGGATTGCTGGATTGAATGGTAGTTATAAGTTATTTGAGAAATCTCCAAACTGCTTTCCACAATGAAGTAATATACATTCCTACCAGCAGTGTATAAGTGTTCTCTTTTCTCTGCAGCCTCACCAGCATCTGTTATTTTTTTACTTTTTAATAATTGCCTTTTTTTTTTTGAAATGGAGTCACACTCTGTCACCCAGGCTGGAATGCAATGGCACAATCTCTGCTGACTGCAACCTCCGCCTCCCAGGTTCAAGCAATTCTCCTGCCTCAGCCTCCCAAGTAGCTGGGATTAGAGGGTGTGTCACCACACCTGGCTAATTTTGTATTTTTAATAGAAACGGGGTTTCACCATGTTGGCCAGGCTGGTCTCGAACTCCTGACCTCAGATGATTCACCCACCTCGGCCTCCCAAAGTGCTGTGATTACAGGCGTGAGCCAGCATGCCCATCCAATAATTGCCTTTCTGACTGATGTGAGATGGTATCTCACTATGGGTTTGATTTCTATTTCTCTAATAGTTAGTGATGTTGGGCATTTTTTCATATGCTTGTTGCCACGTGTATGTCTTCTTTTGAAAAGTGTTGATGTTCTTTGCCACCACCCCTCCCCCCCCTTTTTTTTTAGACTGAGTCATACTCTGTGGCCCAGGCTGTAGTGCAGTGGTGCAGTGGCACAATTTTTGCTCACTGCAACCTCTGCCTCTTGAGTTCAAGTGATTCTTGTGCCTCAGCCTCCTGAGTAGCTGCAATTACAGGCATGCACCACCATGCCTGGCTAATTTTTGTATTTTTAGTAGAGACATGGCTTCGCCATGTTGCCCAGGCTGGTCTTGAACTCCTGGGCTCAAGCAATCCACCCACCTCGGCCTCCCAAAGTGCTGGGATTACAGGTGTGAGCCACTGCCCACCCAACCCTTTGGCCATTTTTTAATGGGGTTGTTTGTTTTTTGCTTGTCAATTTAAGTTCCTTGTAGATTCTGAATGTTAGACCTTTGTCAGATGCATAGTTTGCAGATATTTTCTCCCATTCTGTAGGTTGTCTGTTTACTCTCTTGATAGTTTCTTTTGTTTCCCAAGGCAGATGTCCAGAATGGTGTTTCCTAGATTATCTTCCAGAGTTTTTATAGTTTTCAGTTTTACGTTTACTTCTTTAGTCCACCTTGAGTTGAGTTTTGTATGTGGTAGAAGGAAGGAGTCCAGTTTTAATCTTTAGGATATGGCTAACCAGTTATCCTGACACCATTTATTAAATAGGGAGTCCTTTCCCCGTTGTTTGTTTTTGTCAACTTTGTCTAGGATTAGATGGATGTAGGTGTGCAGCTTTATTTCTGAGTTCTCCAATGTGTTCCATTGGTCTGTGTGTCTGTTTTTGTACTAGTATCATGCTGTTTTGGTTACTATAGCTTTGTAGTATAGTTTGAAATTGGATAGTGTGATGCCTCCAGGTTTGTTGTTTTTGCTTAGGATTGCTTTGGCTATTTGGGCTGTCTTTTGGTTCCATATGAATTTTAGAATACTTTTTTATAATGCTGTGAAAAATGTTGTTGGTAGTTTGATAGGAATAGCATTGAATCTGCAAATTGCTCTGGGCAACACGGCTATTTTACCATATTGATTCTTCCTATCCATGATCATGGAATGTTTTTCCATTTGTGTTGTCTCTGATTTCTTTCAGCAGTGTTTTGTAATTCTCACTGTAGACATCTTTTGCCTTCCTGATTAGCTGTATTCCTAGGTATTATTTATTATTGTTATTTTGTGGCTATTGCAAATGGGATTGAATTCTTGATTTGGCTCTCACTTGGACATTATTGTCATATAGAAATGCCACTGAGTTTTGTACATCGATTTTGTTTCCTGAAACTTTCCTGAAATTGTTTATCAGATCTAGGAGCCTTTGGGCAGAGACTCTGAGGTTTTCTAGGTATAAAATCATATCATCTGCAAAGAGAGATAGTTTGGCTTCTTTCCCTATTCAAATGTCTTTTATTTCTTTCTTTTGCCTGATTGCTCTGGCTAGGACTTCCAGTACTATGTTGAATAGGAATGGTGAGAGCAAGCATCCTTGTCTTGTTTGGTTCTCAAGGGGAATGCTTCTAGCTTTTGTTTGTTAGTGTGATGTTGGCTGTGGGTTTGTCTTAGATGGCTTTTGTTATTTTGAGGTGTTTTTTTGATGCCTAGTTTGTTGAGGATTTTTAGCATGAAGTTATACTGAATTTTATTGAAAGCCTTTTCTGTGTCTATTTAGACGATCATGTGTTTTTTAAATTCTGTTTATGTGACGAATCACATTTATTGATTTGTTTATATTGAACCAACCTTGCGTCTGTGGAATAAAGCCTACTTGATTGTGGTGGATTAGCTTTTTGATGTGCTGCTGGATTCCATTCACTAGTGTTTTGTTGAGGATTTTTGTATCTATGTTCGTCACAGATATTGATGTAAAGTTTTCTTTTTTGTTTTGTCTATGGTGGGTTTTGGTATCAGAATGATGCTTGCCTCATAGAATGAGTAAGGGAGGAGTCCCTCATTCTCAGTTTTTTTTGGAATAGTTTCAGAAGGAATACTCCTTGTGGTATTCACAGTAATATCATTGTCTCCCCCATTGGATATTAGGAACAATATCACAAGGAGGATGTACACCTCCTGTGATATTGGAAGTAATATCATCCTTTTCCCCCATTGATATTAGGAAAAATATCACAGAAATACACATATTGGAAGTAATATAATCCTCTCCTTTCCTAAATATTAGAAACTATATCACAGAAGAAGTGTACACCTTCTCGGAAATTGGGAATAACATCATCCTCGTCACCACTCAATGTTAGGAACAGTATCGTGGAGCAGGGGTGTACAGCCCCTGCAATTTTAGGAGTAATATCATCTTCTTCCCCCCCGGATATTAGAAACAGTATCACAGGAAGGTGTACACCCCTTCGCTATTGGGAGTAATATCATCCTCTTGCTCCCTGGATAGTAGGAACAATATCCCGGGGTGGGGCGGGGGAAGCTGTGTACAACCCCTGCGATATTAAGAGTAAAGTCATCCTCGGCCGGGCACGGTGGCTCACGCCTGTAATCCCAGCACTTTGGGAGGCTGAGGTGGGCGGATCACAAGGTCAGGAGATCGAGACCATCCTGGCTAACACAGTGAAACCCGTCTCTACTAAAAAATACAAAAAATTAGCCGGGTGTGGTGGCGAGCGC